TGTCAAAATGGTAGCGGTGCGCGGTTTATCTGGAGTAGAATCGCGAGTGCGCACGTGGCCCTGTCCTGCGCCGACACTGTTCTGCAGACCTCAAACGTTCCACGTGGGGCATGTGACTTTTACAAGTAAACATGCAGTAGGCTGGCACGACGTCACATGACCCGAATGACCCTACACTGCTTCTTGCCTCTCCCAACTGCGGGAATTTCAGCTTCTTGAGGTCAGGGTCTTCTTCTTCTGTCCTTTACCATGTTTTCCCTGGTGTCTAGAACCGTGCACAGCACAGAGAATGCCCTAAATAAATGTTTGTAGAATGACTGGAGTGCACAAACAAACGGGTGCGTGCGTGCGTGGAGGTCAAGGCCACAGGGGCTGCTGGCACCAGCTGGCTTGGGGTCCCGGCTGGGCTCTGCTCCCACCGCCTCTGGACCCTGCGTGAGGCTGTTGAGAGTCTCAGTCCTGCAGCCTCAGGATGCTCACACATACACCAGAGATGAGACCTCGTAAGAAACGAGAAATGTGAATCCCTCACACACAAGTGGTACCTGAAAAATAACTATCTCTAAGCTGCCTGATGAAGTAAGTATCCAAATAATTCAGAAGGAAAAAACCTCCCTTTTCCAGATGAGTTTGAGGTCAACTCATCAGCTGCCCACTAACTTTACTAACGGCAAAATACCTCTGGCTAAAGTGGCCAAGTCTGGCCCCACCCAGAGGACCCTGGGTTCCTGTCACCTAGTGTCTACCCAGAAACTGTCTCGAGTGAGTCACTTCACTTCAGTGTTTCTATATACAATGGAATAAAGTCGACCCCCTGGCAAGAATGTTGGAGATTGGTGATTAAATGATTGAAACACACTCTGCAGCCACAAAGTGCTATAAACACGGACACTGAAGGACGACTTTTAAATGCTTGTGGACATCTGCGGGGCCTCCGGGTTGTAAACCTCTGGACCGTCGGATAACTCTCGATTTGTAAGTAAATTGGTTCCTGTCTTAAACTACTGATGTGATATTTAGTGACTAATGCGCTGTGCTTTTAACAAAGCTTACATCATATTGTTGTTTAACAAAAGAGTTGGGCCGAATGTCCCTCCTGGGAGCCGGAGAACTTTGGGCTGAGGACGGTTGGTTTCTGCTGAGGACGAGGCCCAGCTCTCTCCCTCCCCTCTCCTGCCCCTGCAGACTGGGTGGGCCCGGCTCCTCCTGAACCGGGGAACCAGGGCTTCACGAAACTCACTGTGGTTTTGGCAAAGGCAACACAAAGACATGGGGCAATATTCAAAAGGGAAAAAAGGCACAAGGAAAAAATGGCGTCCCCCACCCCGGATCTTATGAATGGACCCTTAACACAGTGCAGTAAGCGGGCCCTGTCTTTCCTGAGGACCCGGCAGCCCTGGCTCCAGGGCTGTGATGGCTGCAGGTGTCATTGATTCACTTTATGGAGCATTTTTGCTTGGCCGCCTGCATGAGTCCTGCTCTCAGACTGCTGACTGTGTGGTGGGCCAGGAGGGGCGGGGACAGAGAAGCCTCGTTCCCGAGTGAGAAGGGAGGGGAGATAACCCACGGTGCGATGGGGGCACCGTCAAGCCCGCAGAGAGCACAGCTGCCAAGGCCCGAGCTGGTTACACCTGCCGTGTTATTAAGCAGGTGTTTCGGAGTTTGCACCATGAGAGAAAGGGGGCCGTTGGGAATCTGTTTCCACGCAGGGTTTGAGATGGCTCTTCTAGGTGCAGCGGTTGTTGTTTTCACAGGACGGAAGGTGCGGGCCCATGGAGTTTGGCCAGGAGAAAGTGGACAGAGGAGGGACAGACCCAGGACCAAGTCCCAGGACGCCAGAGCTTTGGGTGGAGAGTGAAGAGGAGCCAGCAACAGACTCCAGGAAAGGTGGGGGCAGGGCAGGAACACCGTGGACGCCAGGGCAACCTCAACCGCACTGGAAGGTCAGGCGAGGCCAGAACTAGGAGACTGTGAGAGCCCTCTGAGGACGGCCCAGTGGGGCGTGGGCACAAGAAGCGCCATGCCAGTGCCTAGAGGAGGGTGCCCCTACCTCGCAGGGCCCGGGCTCTGCGCAACTTTCAGGAGAAGCTGTGTAGCGAAGGCAGCAGGGTGAACCGGGCTTCCTAAGATCGGAGGCAGCAGCCATGCTGGTGAGCTGGTGGCATAGCCCCGAGGGGGTGGCCGAAGGTGGGGACGGGCACCTCATTCCGTGTAGCAGGGCAGAGGAGGTGCAGGTGCTGGTGGGCCTGCGCCTTGGTGTGGGAAGGCTGTCCGAGTCCGATGGAGTCACTGTATTAAAAGCAGGGACACATGGGGCCAGGGAGGGCCATAGAGGAGGTGCTCAGGCAGGGATGCCTGATAACAACATTGTCACAAAGACTCCGCAAAAACTTTGACCTTACACAAAAGCCACCAACACCTTGTACAAAAAAATACTTCTGCGAGAACATCTGCAGAGGGACTGCCTGTCCAGCCTTAGACTGCTGCCACCCTTGTTACTGATCCTGTAGCCAAGGAGAATTGATTCAAAACAATTATGTAACCGTCTTTGTTTTTCCTTAGAAAACCTTTGTCTTCCTTGATGTGCACACAATTGGCTACGGCACGTGCATTCCCACTGTGACGCCTGTTCCCGAGCTTCTCTGTTACTTAGGTTGATGGAGGGGGGGCAGAGAAGATCCCAGCCTGCACATCCTTCCTCAGGATGTTAGCATTCTCCAGGCTGGGTGGTGGGTGGTTCAGAGGGAGGTAGAAGGGGTGAAACGACATCTCTGGGTGAAGAGGGCACACGTGCAAGAAGCCAGGGGCCTGGTGCTCGGCGTGGGTGCCCCTGAGATCTGAGAGATGCTAGGGGTGCAGGAATGGGGTGTTTTCTAGTTTTTTCTAATTTAGGAGCAGCTCAGAGGATGCGAAGGGCTCAGCCCCAGGGCCAGCTGGTGGGTGCAGGGGCCAGGGAGAGGTGGGGAGAGGGTGTACAGAGTGATTCTACCTTTGGGGAGAAGCAGAGGCATGTGCATGCATACCTGTGCGTGTGCATATGTGTGCAGGTGTGCGTGTGCATGTCATGGCTGATGAAGGAACAGGAGCAGCAGGGCGTTGTCCTGCAGAAGTGACATGGAAGGAGAGGAAGTGGTGGGAAGGTGAGGTGCCGGCATTAGGACACGGTGTGGCTGCTGGTGACAACAAGCTTGACGCTATGGCCAGGGCCACGCACGTGGGTGCTGGAGGCTTCAGGCTGGGCACAGGACTCGGGGCACAGGCCTGGGAGGGGTGTCTGGGAAAGAGGAGGTGGCTGCCTCCGAGAAGGGCAGTGTCCAGGGACAGGGCATCGCAGGTGAAGCGAGGAGGAGGAGAGGGCGCTGGGGAGGTGGGGATGCCGCCCGCTTGGCCAGGCGTGCTGGGGTGTGAGGGGAGATGCCGGGTCCCAGGCTCCGGCCAGGCCCTGCCCTTGGTTTCCGGCAAGGGCATCCGTGGCATGAAGAAGAGGCTGCGTGGCCGGCTCCGGCCACCCCAGCAAACCCCAGACTGGCGCGTGAACGGCAGAGGTTGTTCCTGCAGCTCCGAGGCCCGTCAGGTCCGGTCTCCGGGGAGGGCTCCCCGCCGCGCTCACCCGACCGCTTTCTCGGCGCACGTGACCGGCTGTGTGTGGGGGTTTCAGCGCCCCGGGGTCTGCCAACGAGAACGCGTCCTGGCGGGTCGGGACCCACCCGCGGTTCAGCCCGATTCCCGCCCGCAGACCCCGCCGGCCGGAGCACACGTGGGTTCGGAGGGAACCGGTTTCGGGGAAGCCGGGCTGAGCGCGGCTGGGAGAGGGCCGGCGAGTCTGTCCCGGCAGAACCGAACCAGCACTGGGCCGCGAGCGCGGCGCCCACGGGCTCGGGTGCGCGCGCGTGCGCGACACCTGCACCTGCGGGTTGAGCGATCGTCACTGAATCAACCCCGTTCCTGCCACTGTCCACAGCGCAGCCCTAGACACCGACTCGACCTGTCAGCGCGGGGCGTCGCAGGGGCCTGGCCGCCAGCGAGCGCGTCCGGAGCTGCAGAGCCCCGCGGCTGTCCGCAGGGAGCCGGGCCCGGCCGACTCAGAACCCGGGATCCCATTGGAACTACGGCGCAAAGGAGGACACGGCCCCTTTAAGAGGCGCCTACAGCGCCGGCCGTGACGTCATAGGAGTGCGGGGGCGGAGTCTGTGCGCTGTCGCGGCGCGGGGGCGGGGCGGCCCGCCTGCCTGACTGACAGGAGCACAGCAGAGGTGCGGCCCCGATCAGGCCGCCCTCGCAGGCCCGCCCCCTCCTCAGGCCCCGCCCAGGCCCCAGGCCCCGCCTCCTAGTGAGCCTCTCCTCCGAGCAGGCCCCGCCCAGGCCCCTGGCTTCGCGCAGGCCCCGCTCCGCCCCCAGTCAGGCCTCGCTGCAGTTCGGGCCCTGCCCC